TCTGTACATCAACGACCTACCACTCTGTCATTTATCGCCACTGGATCCGACGGACACGTCCAACCCCAGGCGGCCAGCGGGGCCAGCGGAGCCAGCGCGCCGCTCATTGCCGGGCCACCGGAGGATGCCATCGAGGCGATCTTCCATCCTTATGCCCAGAGGGACATCGAAGAAGGGATTCCTGAAACAAAGAGAAATGGTATGGACATGCCCATGCTTTGATATTACTGCGGTTTCCAACGGCACCTGCTCTGGTGCCATTGGGTGGCTTTTTGGCTGCATGGCCATTGAACCAGCAGTAGAGTTGTTGAATACATGTCATGAAGCATATTCCATTTTGGCTGCAGAACACTGGATGTGTCTCCTTACGTAATAGTATTCATGATAAGTTGGTCAAAGGAACACCCCCAAGCTTTGTGGTGATGAACCGAAACTGGCTACTGAGTCAGTGTCCTCTCAGTTCATTGAAATGTTCAGTGGTGAGTCTGCGCCCACTGGTTTCACCACCGGTGTTTCCAAAAGCGAACCAAAAGCGATGGCGGGATGGGCCATCCACGTCCCGTCCCTCACCCTCGAGGCCCAGAGCGCGGCGGCGGGCCCCGCGGGCCGAGAGGCCGCTCGAGGGTGGCTCGGAGCGTCGCCGGGGCGTGGGGAGCGAGACAAACTCCGGAGAGATTCCACATGCAATTCATCATATGGGATGTTCACATCGGTTTCAGGTTGCCCGAACAACGCTCACTGCACTCTGTTTTCATGTTCCAGGAACCCCACCAACGCTCAGAGCTGCCTCCTTCGGTCAATGGTCTTGTGAAGACGAGGGATTGCGCACACCAAGTCACCAAGACGTCGGTTTTGACCCACGAGCTTCAGGAGGGCCCAACGGGATGGTGGAACTCTACACCAGCACCTCACCCACGCCCTGATGGCCAGGCATTCCTTGACCACTGGGCGCAAGGGGTCTACTGCTGTGCCAGGTGCGCGCACAGGGGGTTCGTAGGTGCAAGGACTCTTGTACTTTAAAGCCAGCGGTGAACAGGTTTAGATATTGGGGATGCAAGAACCTGCAGTCGTGAGAAATGGACAGACATCGACTTTTCATTTTTCGATGTGACATGACATGGTGTCAGAAATGGAAAGTTGTCTGACTCTGACTCTGTGATGCTTTTTGGTATCTTGATCTCTCAGCTACGAACTCTCTGCAGTGCCTCGTTCCCAGTCCTGTTTCAGAAAATCAGAAACAACTGACACGTGATTCCTCGCTAGACGATGGGACGATGCGAATGGGACGATGGAACCTTTCCAGACATTCAATGTGTCGATGCGATTCCGCATGCGATCGACATGTTTAGATAAACATGAGAAAGGATCTGAATGGCTCATCTCACGCCATGGCATTCCAGCCATCCCTCAATGCCCTCAAGGTGCCAGCAGGAGCTCTACCACTCCAGCGCCAAGTGGCGCGGCCCCTGCGCATGGCCCTCCTTTCGGCGCGCGACAGCGGAGGAGGCGCTTTTTTCGTCTCATCAAAAGCGAAAGGACTGGGGAACATGATTTGCTGGAGCACCTGGGAGGAATGGATATAACTCTGATTATTCTGCAGACATTCTGCACATGATACTGGTACGTTTTGGAAGCAATTGTTTTCGTAGATTGTGGCTCCAAGCAGATGACACTTGGAAAGCACATCGGTTCCGGTGCAGGTTTACCGATCCGGGGGGGGCCGGGGGACTCGTGTGACCTCGTTTTCCTTAGCCTCGCTAATTTTGGAGCCAAGGCCATAGGTTGTCCAAATGTCCAATAATTCAGGGAGGCACCATCAATCTCATTTGCATTTTTTGATTGACTCTTTTCCCTTCCATCTGGCCTTGGGTTGGGGAGATCCCGGTTCCGTCGGCACGGCGCGTCGTCTTCGTTCCAGAGCCGCGCAGCTTTGTGCAGCGCCTGAATCCAGTAAAGCAGTCAGATTCCCAAGAACAGACCTATATAGTACTCTTCCAACAGGGTGCGCGCATGCCTGCCCAAGTGGCGGCGTGGGCCTTGCATGAAAGAGAAGAAACACCTTCCCTTTTGTGCTAGGGGTGCTCGGGTTTGCAATTTCACATGTTTGCACCAAACCATATATGGTCGAAGGATGCAATACCCGCTTTACAGTACCTTGGATGTCTTGCTCGCGTTTCTTGCATTTACCAGGAAAAGTATATTTAAAGTCATATAAATAAGTATCTTTCTATGTGTGCTCAGTCATTATGTGCAGACATGTTTTTTCATGACGATGACCGTTGGCCCGTTGGCCCTTGGCCGCCTTGGCTCATCTACTGGCGATCCCCAAATCATCGGTGATGACATCGCCCGCAGGCCCTCCTCATGCGTCCGGTGGTCGGCTATGGCAGCTGCTGTGATGAAGATGGACTGGTAGAGACAGGTTGGGTTGGTCCAAAAGGTCTGGGGGAAGCAGCTGACCGAGTTTTCCACACTCAGTCAGTAAGTACGTCAGTCATTTGATTTGCTTGGCTCTTTGTGATTGACCGTACCTGTTTGTTTGTTTTGTGATTTGATCACAGTAGATCACAGTCAACCAGCTTGGATGTCTTGAGGCCACGAATGGTTTGATCGCACGGTGGGTTTATGGGGCAACCACTACCTGTAAGAGATGAAGATGGATCTTTCTGGTTTGATTGCGAGGCTTCCTTTTAAATATGATCTTGGCCCTGATTCCCGCCCAGTGGGAGACCTTCCTCGAGCGTGAGCTCCCGAGGCTATCGCTGTGCAGTGGCGGAGCTCTACTGCCGATCCTGCCGCCTCTTTCTCGGCGGGGAAACGCGAGTCGCGCCGAGACAGGTCAGTCGCGGCGAGACAGATCGGCGGTCGTGCGAGCGACGGAGCGGTCGTGCAGTCCGAGAAGAAAAGGACCAAGAAGGCTTTTTGGGAGCCTCAAGTGAGAGGGCGCCCCCTCAGGTGCCCAGTGATTGTTCAAGGAGCATGGCATGAACCGAATCCAGAGTTGTTGTCAAAAGGTGTGAAAGACCCGCTGATCCCACCGGTCTATCTTCTCGTTTTGTTTCGGGAAGATTTATGCAAGAGGCAAGCAGCAGGAGCTAAGTTGACAGTATTTCTCAGCAGTTGCGTGGCATGAGTGAACTCTTTTGGGTCGGCCACGACGAATTTGGTTTTGAACAAGTTCATCCAGTGCATGTTCGACAGGTTCCACAGCCAACCGCCAACCTCCCACGGACCAGGCCATCGCTTCCAGGATGCGCGCGAGAAGGGCGACTGTGCGCCTTGGACTTGATATGTTTTAAATTCTTTTGCCGAAGCAGCCCGGGGTGTGGACTCCCAATGAACAGAATTGGATAGAAAAGTATAGAAAAGTGATGAACAGTGAATCGATTTGTAAAGCAACACCTTTTTCTACGGTTCAACATGTACGTGAATGTAGTGATGTTTTTGGCATTGGGGTTACTGTGGGCCGGTCGCCGGCGGGATTCGGCCGGTCGCACATGGAGCTCCACCCATCTCCCTCTCTCTCTCTCTCTCTGGTGCAGCTCCAAACAGCTGGCTTTGATGCAGAATGAACACTGCTATACCATGCTAAGTACCATGCAATGCTATACCGCTTTTTAGCCTCCACCCCTTTGCAAGTCTTGGAACCACTGCAGCAGTCGTTAACCACTGCAGCTGTCACCCTGCAGGCCCCCGACTCAACAGGCTGGCGACACTGAGTCTTATCGCGTTCGCTGAGCTTCCGTGAGCTGCGGGGAACGGGGATGAAGAGCGTCCCCCAGTCACTAGCATCAAGCTTGTAGCGACCAGTCGAGAGGAAGCACCACGTTCTGATCATGAGAGAATCATATCCAGAAAGAGAAGATCCAAAACATGTCCAATAGACTTTGAAAGCGGTATATATCGGTGGTGGAGTATCACTCGCAATCTATTGGCAGATGTTCAAAAGGCATCCAAAGACAGTTTTGTAACAAGTATTTGTTCCTTATGGTTTTCTCTCCTCCCCCATGATCTCTACGGACAGGATAAATATGGACAAATGATAAATGCCAGGACTGGACAAACCCTCCAAACAAACGTACACGGTCTGACAAGCAAGCATCCCAGCATCCCCCTCTGAACAGGAATGAAGTCATACCGTTTTAAGCTATGATGTGTGGGACTGGATGACAGGACGCTATCATTGTTCAATTGGATGTTGAGGCTCTTCCTCTGACGGCAGTAAGTCTCTGCCTGACCCCCTGGCTGAAGCACGCCGCGCGCTGCACGGGTGATGTCAGGCTTTCGCCTGGCAGAGTGTGCGGTGAGCGAACTTGCGCTCAGCGGTGGCCGTGCAAGGTTGCGAGAAAAGGAGCTGAGACTGGAATGTGAGGCTGTTGGTTGGGTGTCACTTGCTACTGGGCCTCCTGCTAGATTACAAACCAAGGTTTTCAGGTCATTTCAGGGCCAGACATAGAGATTGGATGCTTTTGGTGGCTCAAGCTTCACCCCGTAGCAGTGAAATGTGCTGCAAATTGCTCACGGCGCAAGATAAGCTTGTAAGATCAGGCACCACTGTACTAAAGAATATTTTGCCTCACACCAAACTGCACACACCAACTTATGGTCCTGACTGCTCACACCAGATGAAGCAGGCATTCCTGTGCCACCTTCTCTACTCAGCCTACTCAGCAAGCTGAAAGTATGGAGGTGGTCTTTTTGTTACAAATCCCCAATGCTCCGTTTTCATCAGTGGGTGACACCCAGCACTAGGCAAGTCGGCAATGCCTGCCAAGTCGGTCACGCTGGTAATTCAAACGGTGTGATTAAGCGAGGAAACGGTAGCCTCTTAACCAGGGCAGAAGAACATGCGGAGGTTGGCATCAAACATGCGGAGCACCGTGCCTTGTGGCCTTGTGTTGTGGAGTGCCTTGTGCAACACTACCATTTGAGCAGTTAGTCGTGTTTTTTTTTCCTAGTCTCAGACTAGGCCGACAATCAATAGCCAAGGCTAAGCAGCAGCCATTTGCCCAACACCACTGACCCGTTTCGCCGGTCACGTGCCATGTTGCCCAACATCTACCCCGAAGACCTCAAAGGCCGGGCTGTCCAGCATGGGAGGGCTGTCCAGCCGCTGCTCAACATCATGTGGCCCAGATGACCAAGGTACACCCACATGGGCCTATCAGGCGTACTCCTCCAACAGAAAGGATAGACAGATGCCTTTTTGGAATCCCATAGGTAGGGGGCGCCATTTTTCCTGCCGGCGTTGCGATCTTTTGAAAACACTTGATATCTTAGATGATGATATCACCTCCGATAGTATCTTAGAAAACTAAGAAAACTAAGATGGACCTCAACCTCAGAACTGACCCCGAGACCGGCGCTCCAGTCGAGACAGAAGCGTCACTGAAACTGGAGACCCGGGTCGACGAGACCCCGCCGGCGCGGTCGTCTTACTCGGAGAGGGACGAAGACCCGCCGGCAGGGTCGGCGGAGGTGGACGGAAAACACCCGGGGCCCATGCCACTTGAGGCAGTGACTCAGAGTGACTGACAGAGTGTGAGAAGCGTCTAGAGAATTGCCATCTCCGGATGCCGAGTCCGATCCATCCCAAGCTGCCCCAAGTCTGGAAAGGATGGATCCCTCGTCTTTAGACGTTCGCCACCGTCGATGCCCAAAAGAGTGCCCAAGAGGGCACCCCCTGTAGGCCCCGGTAGCTGCTTGAGCTGGGTAGACATGGGTGTTGCAGAATGCACCGAAAGGTCAGTCAGTTCGTTGACACCCAATTTGTTTGAAGGAAAGGAACATGGAGCCGAGCGATGCCACAGTTCGACCCCCTGGAAGAAGGGAAATAGACCCGCTCCACTTTGAACATGAATCCCGCGGGCCTTCAGGTTCCAGTTTGGGGTAGTTCTGCATGAGTTGCATGTGCATAGTACCATTGTGATTGCCAAGCCCGCTAAGCTCGATCACGCGTGCATGTAAGGCACAACAACAACAGCAGCAGCAGCAGCAACAGCAGCAACAGCAGCAGCAACAGCAGCAACAGCACCAGCACCAACACCAACACCAACACCATCCAAAACCCATTGGTTGGGGGTCTCCCTGTTCAACGACACACCCAATATATATACAAAAATCCTCGGGTTTCTCGGCCACGAAGCGAGGCTTCGCGCCTGCCGGGTGGCCAAGGGGTGGGGTGCCGCCAGGGTGCCAGGGCAGCATTCCGGAGGCCTGGCCTGCATGAGAATCATGAGATCCATTCCACTTGTATGGATTTCGGATGATTTCGGATTGATTGACCCTCCAAACTAACATGGACCCTGACAATGGGCAGCTGCAAAATGCGTTTCGTCTAACAACCAGTGGTTTTCAGCGTCCAATGTGAGTCTTCAAGGGGTCCCTGGTTGTTTGAAGCTGGTTCGTTCATGTAAGATCGACCAGACGCACGTCGAAGTGGGATCGTCAGGGATCGTGGGACGTCAACGTGTCACGTCCTTAGACCCTAAATATGCGGTACCGCTACAGCGAACAGTGAGGTGGCTATTTGGGCGGACAGTGAGGTGGCTATTTGGCACAGTTGAGACACACCACTACACCTCAAGCACAGTTGAAACGAACCTACCCTTTTGAACTTCATGCGTGGGTCAGGCGATCTGGATGTGTACTGAGTGCAGTCAGTGTTGGCACCCAGGGAAGCATAGGGGCGCAGTCGGCCGTTGGCTGCACCAGGCCGTGGCGCGTATCTTTGACCGGTAGTCGTTCACAAGAATCTCCCTTTGGAAGAACATCCTGTGTATGCAGCCTCTTTGGTTTCCGATTACAACACATCCGACATCCATCACCTGTCTCAAAATCTTAAACTGCAGATACCCCGAGCTTCTGCTCAACCAGATCCAACCAGAGCTCCCGCTGTTCACCGTGGATCCCTAGGCCGTCAGCCGGGCGGCGCGCTTGCTGCTTGGGGTCCCTGGACGTGGGGCTCAAGGGCGTTCGGCTTTGAAGAGAAACCCCGCCTTCCAAGTTTCTGGAGCATTTCCGACGCCTCCCCTTTCCTTTCTTCATTCTTGGTCCCTTTTCGATAGTCCACTTCGTTGCCCCTGCTCACCCTGCTCACCCTGCCCACCGTGCTGTTTTCCGACGCCGGACCGTCCGGGGAACCGCCCCCCACCGGTCGCTCTTCCCGGTGCCACACCTGCGAGGAACCGCCTCCAACGGTCGTCCAACCGGGGCGCCTCGAGGTCTGTGGCATCCCTAGGCTCCGTCGTGCTGCAAGGCCGAGAGACGGAGGGCACAGGAACCACACATCGATGTTGGCGCCCGCCGAGCGCCAGGGGTCGGCGCCGAGTTCGATGAAGGTTATATGAGTTTAGAGAGTTTGATAGACTATGAGAGGGAGATTTGGACCACTTTGGACCAATGTGCTCAGAGCCTCACTTGAGGTTGTCTCTGTGTTCCCTGCATCGCAGAATTGGTGTCGGAAGCATCACAGAATTGGGGTCGGAAGATGTGGAATGTTTGCCATCTGCCAGCCATGAACAGCTGAGTTGAGCCTGTTTGAGAAAGGTTTGCAGTCTGGATGGCACTGTCAGCATCACAATGTGTGTCCAATAGCGTTTATGGGGCAGGCACGCCTCCCACAAGAAAACTCCCTTTGACAGCCTGGCATTTGTGTGCCAATTGATCATTTGCAGGAGCCGTGTTGACAGGTTTGGAGCAGATGTTCAGCCTCCACACTCAGAATTTCCAGGGTGCTCTGAACAGCATGAGGGATGTCAGACCGCTAAAGGCTAACGGATTGACTGATGCACTCACTGATTGACCAACCACCCGAAATATGGTTGACCACCCTCATTCCATCTCATTCCCATGAATCCAAGTCTGTTGGGGTGTGGGGAAGGTGGACCAGTCGTGGTGGACCATCGAATCCTCTCACATCAGTTGAAGCCAGGTCGCAGGTCCTTTGCCGCCGCCAGGAGACCGGACGGGATTTGAAACAACCCAGGGTAGGCTAGTAGGCTAGTAGGCCAGTGTAAGGAATGCACGAGGGGAGTGGTTTCCCCACTCAACAAGAACAGGTGGAGCAAAGGGTAATCTTATGTAATCTTTATCTTCCAGACAAACTGAGGGAGCTAGAGATTCAGTACAGTCACATGAGGCTTTCGATTGATCCCAGGTTCTGTGTTGATTGGTGCACGGTAATTCTTCCGCTTCAAACGCGTTACGACGGGTGACCAACAGGGCCTTCATGGCTCAGGTGTCAACGGCGCAAACGATGTGAGCGTTTGAATCAATCAAGCTTCTACCGCGCGACATTCCATGACATTCCATGAACATCTCAGATATTGCCACATGGGAGAGCTCAGCCCGCCTGGCCACTGGAACTACATTAACAAAAACTTCTTGGTGACTGCTAAGCTTGTAAATCTTAGAGCAGGCTTCAGACAGCTCTTCAAGCAATAACAATCTATCTATATGACTCGTGAGTCATGACCGTGTTACGACAGATGTATTTTAGGAGGATGTGTGTGGAATGTGTCATTGTTTATAACTGCTTTATATCATACCGGCATGGTTTGATGAGCAGCGTCATAAACCTCAGCCCACTCCAAACTCAAAACACATCCACATTCTCAGTTCTTCTCATGAAGCTCTAAAACCAACAGAATATGTATAGTATAGGGCAAGGTGACACAGGTTGAACAAGCTTCCAACTCAGATCTTCCTTTCGCTCCACGCGTCGATCCGCATTTTTTTTGAGGAGCGTGAAGCTCACCGGTGCGGGCGCCGAGGAGGAGAAGGCGAGGGCGGACCGGCGGGATCCAGAAAAGACAAGGAAAAAGCCACAGAACAAGTTAGATCAAGAGGATTTTGGACTTTGGACATGTGATGGACGTGTACGTAAGGAGAGTTTGAGGTACTCAAAGAACCGATCAACTTTGGGTTTCGCCGCCTTCGGCCCCTTTGTTCCGGTGTCGATGTATTTTCGAGATCTTAAGAAGTGAGCTGGCCCTAGGATTCCCACCACCATTGATTCAATGGTTTTTGTCAAACAACCATTATACCAGGGCATGGCATTTTCTCAGGTGCTTTTTGCAAGTTTTCGCTTCCAGAGGCGCCATGTTACACTTTTCGAGGTTGACCGCATTGCGGGCGTTTGGTTCTTTTTGCTCACCTACCAATGTGTTCAGCTCTATAATATTATGATATATTATGTGTATATGTAGAATATACATATAATTATACACATATAATGGTTTATCACCCAACCTACCTGGTGAACTCTTCACGCAACTCCTCGGTTTCGCCCCCCCGCGGGACCGCCCTCCGCCACGGCAGGAGACGCCGCTGGGCGTCGCGGCGTTGCTGATGCTCCTCGCTGCCGAGGCGGTGGACCGAGCGGGGGGGAGGCTTCGACGTGGTTGTTCGGCGAGCGTGAAAAGGACACATCGGGGTGAGGAGGAAAGTGGACACATCTCGGTGAATTGGAGGATTTGGAGCCAAGGTTATGATTTTAAGATATCCATGGGAAGCATGGATCTTTTTGAGGATCACTGATGTGGGACTCTTGGGCGAATCGTCCCCGACTAGCCCATGCCACCTGGCCGCACGCGGGGTGCGATGCTTTTCCTCGAACCGGAGCGGATGGATGTGTTCAACCAAAAGAATACAGAAACATACAGAAACAGCCCAAAACTGTTTGCCACTAGTAATATATATATATATATATATTCATGAATGCGTTCAAAGAAGACAACCCAAAAAGACACCCGAGCGGCTCGATGGAATCACCTAGCCACCCACGGGACGGTCAGACACGGGCCGATTGGGCCAAGGCTGTGGCACCGCGGGACCCGGTGTGTTTCCCACCCTCAAAAAGCATCGGTGTGTCGATGCCATCAGCTGACCATACCAGGTCCACCGGGGAACCCGGGGGGAAAACGGGTGAAACGGGTGGTTTTGACCGGCCATCTCATGGCGGTCGAGGGAGCCGATGGCGCATGTGGCATGGGATGCGGGAAGTGTTCCCGGGGGTTCCAAGTCCGTCACAGCAGGAGTTTTTTTTTTTGGTGTTCCATGCGTCCTTCCGAAAGGTGGCAACATGATACAAGATGATCAACATGAACCATGGATGTCAATCAGTCTTGAATCGGAAGATACATGAATAATCAATCCTGAGTAGAAGAAGTGATGCTTCTTGTGATTGGGGTGGATGAGTGACCATCGCTTTGGAAGATATATATGTATATATATATATATACAATTTTCATATCCATGGATACCATAGGTCTTCCTCGTGCCCTTTCTGGTTGCAAGGCCCTGCAACGTCGTGTACTGTTAGCATCCTGGACCTTCCTATACAGAAGCTCAGCAACTGGATTTGATGAATAACCTTTGGTTCTTCTTCCTTGGTGCACCAATCGCTGCATTCACTGCTCTTTCCTTTGAGCTGTTGGGCTCGCCGTAGTGTCTGACCATTCGGTCTATTGGAGCTGGCCCGGCGCAAATGGCCGCAGCAGAACGGGCCATGGTGAGCCGTGTGGAGAAAAACATGGGTTTTCTTGGAGCCCTGCCGGTTTAGTGGGACCTCAACGCCGTCGCCTGCGGTCGACACTGCGCCAGGTGGTGGGTGGCAACGCGTTGCTTCAGCCAGCGAAGGCCTGATGAAGTGATTTCTTCTTCCCAGATGGGTATTATGACATAAGGAGACCCCCACGCAAGGGGTTTTGGGTTCTGGTCTAGTTTTGTCTTCCAGGGGGTGTTTAAACATTTTCCATAGACACCCCAATACATTCAAGTGGTTTGAAACTCCTTGTACTGATTGGTGGGTACAGTTCTGTCATGCTTCTGAAACCTTTTGAACCCTCTTCTGAACAGCCCTCATATTGTATGAGCCCAGAGTATCCCAGAGTTCGATATAGTCAGTGTTGCATCACCCGAAAGTGGCTCATACCAGGGATAGGGATAAGGCTCTTCCGCTGCCACGCTTGGTCTTCAGCCCCGCAAGGCGGCTCTAAGCACAGTCGGGTGTTTGCGGTGAATGCGGACGGTCTGACCGGTCTTTTCTCAGTGGTCGGTCGCTACCCGGCGTTGTTGGTCGTTGGGGTCGAGGCCTTCGGTCAAGACGGTCCAACATCACCGTCTGACTGGGCATCGCGCAGCCACCTTTGCACAGTCCAGTCTGAAAACCACTGACCATCGAAGTCCCCAAACCTACAAAATTGGTGACATTTTCCGCTCGTTTTCCATGACTGCCGATGTCCGACTGCCGTTTCGTGCCTCGTGCCACGGTGCGTGCGATCAGGACTGGCCACTGAAGCAAGCGGCCCAGACGGTGCAGAAGGCACTCCAGAAGCCGCAGACCAGCATGCTGGAGCCAGGGGGGGGGGGGGGGGGGGGGGGGGTGCAGGGGCAGGATGGAGGAGGGGAGCTTCCAGAGTTCGTGGGAACCGGTTTTCCCCTCCAAAAAAACACTCAGGACAACAGAAGACCCACCAGGACTCTCGCGGGCGAACCCTTCGGGTGATGGTCGAGGTCTGAAGGAGTGAACCCGAATCGGGCGAGAGAAGCGTCCTCTCGTCTGTTGGAGAAGGTCCGAAGGTCCATGTTTGGCGACTGGGTGTTTGAATGTGTTTGATGTGTTTGGCTGTTGGTCACAAGTGACTTGTGCATCATCGTTTTGTTTGTTCATGTTTGGATCGTGATTAGTAAAGGGGGCTCCCCCTAGCTAAACGAATGGGTGGTCGTCTAAAATAAACTAGTACCAAAACAAATCTGGATTCCTGGTAGATTTCCTTTTGCAATTCAATGTTGTATTCATTTTCCTTTCATAGATTGTATTCAGTTTCCTTTCTCACGTGCTTTGTAATTGTTCTCAGCCATGGCTTTGGTAGTATAATTAAGATTCCATGGGCAGATCTTTTTTTTCTCTGGAAAATGCGGTTCACAATTGACAACCCCTTTAACAAATCTATTATTGATGATCAGGTGCCTTCCTGGTCTACTACCTTGAACATTTGTTTAGGAGCAATGTTCACATAAAGGATTGCATTAGGAATTGGTGGGTTTGGAAAGCTGTCAGTTTTGAAGAAAACCTAGAGAAACCTATGCCAGCTAATGAATCATAATCATCGGCCTCAGGAGCTAAATAAAGGAAGATTCCATGAGCAGATCTATTTTTCCTGTGGATAAAACTATTCTTATCTGCTTGCCTGGCAAGAGAGGGGGGAGTGCAGGAGGACAGGGTTCAGAAGGAATTCAAACACTTATTAGGTGTCCAATATAAAAAGAAAATTAGGGTCCCCCCAAAAATTATTCATGACCACTTTTTCATACTTTTTCAAACATGGGGTCTGGAATAATTTTGGAAAAATTAGCATTATTGAAGACCGGTTTACTAATCAACATCCAACATTAACTGTGTGTCCTTGCTCAGTTATGTTTTTGCGGGAGTTGTCTTTTGGTTTGTTGCTTCGTACCTACATGTGCCATCATGTGCCTACTATTTTTATCTGAAAAACACTCTCTCATGACATGGTGGTTCCGGAAACAAACCCGCTGAACAGGCTGGCAACGGGGTTTCCGATGACATCGGCAACGGTACCGGACGGTACCACATCGGACGTGCGTCAGGAGCGAGCCGTGGAGATCGTGTTGGAGGTCTTGAAAAGTAAGCAGGTGGGGATGGGTTTGTCACATCAGTGACCAGGCCCTTACGAATGGGCCCTTACGAAGGCGTCATCATTCACTGGAACCGTGGTGATCAGGATGTGATAAGTAGGGTTGGGTGTTCTCCCCCTGTGGGTCATCACAGGTGGGAGACCCGAGGATACCCTGCTTGGCGGCGGTGTTGGGACTTTAGAGTTTGATCCATCCCCGATGCAAACGGCTGGGAGACGAATGAAACGATCCCGAGGTCTCGGTCTCGGATCGGATCGCTTCAATCGCTTCTTGGATCGCGGATTCGCGGAGAGCTTTTTGGAAGAATGTTTTTTTTTTTTGAAGAAGTGGGTTGGAAACGAGGCAATGAAAACAGGAGGGCTAGTTGGATATCTTATCTTTGCAATCTTTTCATCTATCCAACAGGATCCAACAGGCTGGTTTTCCACTTCGATTGTCGGACTTAGCCTATCGAAAGCCTTTGGTTGGACCAAAAAACGGCGGGAGGGAACATTTCCTCCTTTTTGACCCTTTAAGGGCTGTGAAGTCCAGAAAAGGTCTTAGCATGTCTTAGCACTTCTTATTTTCTTTGTTGCCTTTGTTTTCTGTTCCGAGTGTAAGGGGCTCTCCTTGATAGAATGTCTTTTGTTATCCACGGCTTACTTGAGCAAAATCTCACCATGATACCACATGGGCAGTTCTCTACCTTGAAGAAGTACAAGCATTGCCCCAATCACTGCCGTGGGCTGCACCGGGGTTCTCCCGCTGATTGGAGGCACTCAGCTTGAGACAGGGACGAGCCGAGCCGAGCCGGGCCAGAGTTTGCTGTTTGGACTCCATTGACCGACGGAACCGGTCGAGCGAATCCGCGACCCATTGCCGGCCAACGGGGCTCGGATGAGCTCGGATGAGCTGAAGGTCCGTTGGCAGCCGAGCTCAGGTCCTTGGACGCCATAGGGGTGGAATATTATAATATATATATATTGTTCTTGACGCCATGAAGTGCCCATCGAGTTTCCCTTGAACAGATTAAAAACAGCAGCAGCTTTCCTCATTTTGTGGTCGACAGACTCTCCAACATTAGCGCAGGTACCCAATCGCCCTTTGCGCAGGTCTTTGCAGCCCTGCATAGCGCCGTGATGATTTGTGGAGCTCGGCATGCCTTAGACCGAAGAGCTTTGGGCCACAGGGACTTGAGTGAAAGGTGCACAGTTTTTTGAATGCCTGGTTGAAAGGTTCAGTGGGTGCAAACTTCGTGAGCCATGGAACATGGAATATTACATAAATATATATATATATAATATTGTATATAATTGATATTGCATTGCATTACACTACACCATACTATGATAGAATATCACATATCACGAAAGGTAGCTTGAGCTACCTGAGTTCTCCTTGCTTTAGCAAACATGTATTACAATCAGGAGTTGGCATTGTGCATTGAGTTTGGTCCTGTAAGAAATGATTCTGTTCGTCGGGGGGGGGCCCCTCCCTGGATCAAATCCCCCTTGCGCCGGCTCACGCCGTCATGGACTTCTACCAGGGTTACTTGTGATTGCCTGCTACCTTTCGTTCACCCCCTCCTCTCTCAAAAAAATAATATATATATATATAATATACTTATGTAAATATTGTGTAGGTGGTCGCTTGTAACAAGTTGGGACCTATCTTGACTTGATGCTCCCAAAACTGCGCCCCTACGCCCAAGCGCCAGGTTTGTTGCTTGGAGCCTTGCTGACCGCGGTGGTGGGGACCGTGTTGTCTGGTGGGAACCAGCGGAAGGCGCAGACGGAGGAACTGGGAAGAAGGCAGACACGAAAAGCGCGGACACGACAAGCAGGCAGAAACAAAGATCATACCAGCACCGCCCAGTTACAGTGCGGGTAGTTCATAGACCCCCCGCTACCACTGGGTTGGCCAAAATGATCAAGTGAACACACTTCTTTAAAACGTAACCTTTGGCAGCTGCAATTTGGACAAATCTGTGCGGCGAGGTTCCAAAAGGCAAGGAGCTAGCATTTGAGCTTATATATACATCTACCAGGAGCTCGTATTTAGTTGTTTTGTTATTTTTTAACCTTTTTTTCCACTATTATCAGTGCACATAGGAAACAAAGGAAGGAAAGAAGGAAGGAAGGAAGGATCCGAAGTACAATGTGTAGATCGAGATTTGCAAACAACTCATACATTATAGGTTTATGGACAACGAACCATTGTTTGGCATTAATAGTCCAGGAAGGCAAGGTGTTGACGGTCGTCTCTTACAGCTGTAAGGATCTACCAGATGAGTTCGTCCTCGCAGAGCAAAAAGGAAGCTGTCGGGGAGGGCGGTTGGTTTGCAAAGCGAGCCTTTGCGTTCTCCATCTGTCCGGCAGAAACTAAAACGTGCGCAGATGAGACACACGTATGTCCATAAGCAGACGTTCGATAAGTTCTTTTTGTTTGCCGGTCAGACTCTAGCCAACGATGTCTAATTGTCAAGTGTGTTTTGGTACGTGAGTGACACACCAGGTCCCTTATTGATCTTATTGGGACACGTAAAACCACCCATAAGATAAATCCAGGACAGCCGAAGCCGCCAAGCACGGGGTGAATATCGACGCCCGTGGGGACGCCCGTGGGTCCCAGCCTATTCTCCCGATATTGGTGATTTTTGTGCCAGGCCTCTCACTTGGCGTTTGGTGTGGGCTTGTTCCTGCAGCTTGGCAGGGGTCAGTGGATGTGGATCCGCTACTGGACCACCTCCCACTCTTGGTGGTTTTGGACTGTTTTGCACGGTCAACAGATCACATCGGATCACCGTGATTCCTTGAAAAAGGAGGTCAAACCAGGTGACCATTTCCAGGACCGCGGGCTACAACATGGCCTAGGCTTTGGGTTCGATGGACCGCTCTTGTGTGGGCCCCGTGGGGCCCCGTGGGCTCCCGCGTTCAACGAATTCCGTGCCATCATGCCATCTGGAAGCGATGGGTTCCAAGGCAAAAACAAAGAACACACACACACACACTCACATTTTGACTGTCCCAGTGGCGCACCCAAGTCCCAGTCGTGCCTAGGCCTGTGGGATTTCTGCTGTGCGGCCACGCAACCAGTTGGTCCAAAGCGCTGCGGCCTTCAAACGACTTGGTGACCGTGAGGGACTTGTAGCGGAAGTGGGGCTGGTGGACCGCGGCTCTTGGTGCGTTCTTCCATCTCAGGTCGTGACTTGTTGACAGTTCACAGTGGTGATTTGTGTAGCTTTGAGAAGAGTGCAGCTGGGGGGACAGGTGCAACCAAGAGTGTTTACATGCCATTGCAGGAATACAATTTTATACACCTTGGAATGGTTTTTGGCCTTCAAGCTTAGACTGGTGGCTTAGACAGTCTGAGGAAACATCAATGTTCCCCGGCCAAATATACCACCGGAATCCAACGTGGCTACCGGGGTGTCTATTGACATCTATTGACCATCCCTTAGGATCAAGACACTACCCAGTGGTTCCTGGTAGAGGTGGACCACAAGTTGCCCAAAACTCGCCTAGGCCTTCGAGATGCTGCTCCGTTGCGCTGCCCTGGTTGTGGCCAATGCTCTGGCACCCAAGGGAACCTTGGGGGGCTTCGAAGCACAGCTGCCCCACCATGGGTGTTGAGTTTCAGGTGGTTTAAGATTGAACATCCAGGATCAGGTGATGCCTGGTTTTACCATGTGATATTTTTTAGGTCTCAACATGTCGACGTCTGAACAATCCCCAAATATATTTCAACCAGCCAAGGCCGGGTGCAGCATCAAAGTGCCCTGAACCTGGGGAGGAATGTTTGTTTTTCATTTTCCAGATGGCGTTCCGAGGGGAGTCTGAGGTGGGGGGCAGGGCCAGCAGTGTTCTCCTGAACCCAGGTCCAAGATCAAGCGAATCTGATAAAGTCATATAAAGTCAGGACCTTCCGGTCCTGCTTGGCTTTTCGTTGAACCCACACACGCCACGACTCTCGTCCACGTCCCGCCTTCGTTCCGGCCGGTGGTTCTTTTCGAGGATGCCACGCCTAGCAGCTTTGCAGTCTTCCAGGCAGCTGGCGGCGCGCTACAATGTTGAACGGATTCGAGGAAAACTGTTCCTAGCTTTGGTGATACAGAGAGAGAAATGAATGCCCCCGTAGAAGACCGGACATAGCTTGGAAAGATGTATTGGTGTCACTTATATGACTTAAATGTACAATTGGTGCCAATAGTTGAGGTACCTCTACTACTTGGTACTACCCTCCGATGATCTCTTCACCCAAAGACACGGCCCTTTCATGCCTTCAACTGGAGGTTGCATCTCTCATGGCCAAGATGTCCGCCGCGGTCGGAGGCCCAGGGTGTGAGCTGGTCCGGGATTCCGCGCTGGGGATGAAGTAGATGGGACGCTGATGGGACCGGCTCCCACGAAGGTTGAGGGTAATGATACAATTGATAAAAATTGAATACATATATCATATATTGATAAAAATTGAATTGTATTTACTGTAAATTGATCAAAATTCATATATCATATTCATATGATTGTAATACATCATATGTCCGGGAAGACCCCGCTCCGGTGGTCGGGGAAGACCCCACTCCAGTGCAGGACTGCTTCACATCATGGAACTCTGTAGACGGCTGTCGATGGCTGTAGACGGTTTATGATTGTACACCCCCATTGATACAGACTGACTGCAAAAGCTCTAGACTGACGGGGGGGTTTATAAATCAACCGTCTACACGGAGGTATACTTATGTCTCATCCGGCCAACTCGTTGAAGTCTTGGACGTCAGATTTCCCGCAGTGAGGGCAGACGTTCCCCACATGCTACAGTTAAAGGAAGCATAGACCACAACGAGCAACAGCCTCCTGGAGGTTTTTGGGCAACCTCAAACATTACAGGTGGAAGGTGCAGTCTGCTTCAGGCTTCAGACTTCAGACCCTTTGGGGAGGCTGAGGAGACTGCATCGGGGCAGACGGCTTTTTCTGGTCGTCTCCCAAACGTGCACCACTTTCGCTGGATTCGCGCGCTAACGCGCCGCGTGGCCGATCAGATCAAAGCTCAGGTCGCCACTCTGACATTGGCGCAGGCGCTGGGCGGTGGCACCAGTGCTGTGAAACGCGTGCAGGGCGCAGTAGACAGGTTTTTGGGCGAAGCCAGTGGTTCTGGAGGGGAAACGGGTGTTGTTATAAGGAGAGTCCTCAAGGATTAAGGCAACCAACATGCCAGCATTTGCCAGCTTCGTAAGAGGAACGCTGCGCTATGCTGAGGCCAACCGGGTACATCTCGCTACATCCCGCTGTTGCAAGTCCTCGAAGCTCAAGCCCAATTCGTTTCAGTGCTGGTTTCCCCAAGGGATTGATGTAAAGAAAGCCGATCCCTACGCACGAAACGCAGATTCTCTTCGTCTCCACATTGGGTCGTGTCTTCATGGTGGACACACTTAGATGGATGCTCGCAAGAGCTAAGTCGGTGATTGAAGTTCCACTTTACACGCATTAGCCCTTGACTTGATGGAACAGAAAGGTGCGGAAACCGAAAGGTGGCTGAGTCCGTGGATTTGAAGGTGTTTGAACAATGTTGACTGCGGTGATTCAGCTGCGAGAAGCGGTGGGGTTGGTTTCGGGGTCTATCATGAGAACAACCATGGAACCAAAACACAGCGAGGAAGAATTGGTGTATTGAGACCGTGCAGGTACACAGATTGGCGTCCCAATCTGCTTCACGGAATGTCCACAGCTGTCTTCGTTGGCAGCAGAACTGTGGATTCCCTGCTGCCCCCTGCATGTGTTGAACGACCTAGTGAAAAAACTAGGAAATGCTATAACCTTTGAGACAGGTGTTGACACTTAGATGGTTGCTCGCAAGAGCTAGGATCAGAATGAAGTCCCACTCTAGCGTTTACATTACCCGCTGCATTGTAGACCTTGACTTGCAAGCCGAATGGTGAAAGGGTCGGCTTCACTTGTATTGTTTGACAAGGGTGAAACATAGGCTGCACGGCTGTATCGATGGCTGCTTAAAATTTGCAGGCCTAGCTTCGTTGAACTGGGTCAGTCACAGAGTGCCCAGTTCCCCTGCCTCTTTTTTCTCGCGCTGTTGAAATTTTAGTTTGGTTCCTAGTAGCAAGGCCAGGAGCTACTAGTAGCATCCAGCCTTCTAGTGAAATCTACGGCAGGCATACTTACCAGGCAAAAACCTTGGAAACAGGTGTTAACACACACACACACACTGTGCCGCAATCGGCGCTCTGTACCCCTTGCGTGAAACGATTTTTTGTGCAACAGCTTTGTACACATAACGCCGATCGGCGCTCCGGAAGATTACTAGTCACCTAAAAAGCCTTAGAAAGACAGACAAAGAAAACAAAACAAAAGCACACGAAGAGGGCAAGAAAGAAAGATAGGTGTAGTGACGAGGCCCACTTAGTTAAATGAAAATAGCTAGCGAGCGGGACTTTTGCCTTAAACCGCCCGGGTAGCTAGGAGTAGGACAAGAGAAACAGAAGTAAAGGCACCAACACACAAGTGTGTTGAGCGCGATTTCCTTCTGTTACCCTAAATTGCGGGTGGGATAGCAACAGAGGCCTAGGGCAGGGAGGGGCCCGAAGGCATTGCCATCAGTGGCATTCAAGTAAAGCCGACTTGGGCCGGCGCAACCCATTGTCTAAAAGGCACCTGAAACCTAAAGAAAGGCTTCAAGAAACGAAAAGCAACAGAAAGAGAGAAAGAATTCAAGAGCATGACAAGCGCATGCAACTGAAAAGCAGCCTGTGGTTGCCTAGCCATGGAAACTGTACAGGTGAATACTTAGACGCATGCGCAAATCCTGACTGGATGGTAATCTCAGTGAGCCCTGCGGCATAGTATCAGTGGTATCATGCAGCACCGCGGATCAAGGGGAATCAAGAGAAGTCCAGGAGTGCAAACGGAGCATTCCGGGTGGGTCCCCCAGGATCTGGGTCTATGCACATGTAGCGCCCCTCGGCGGGGATCACACCACAGCCCTCAGTGGGACTCTGTGGCGATACACACTTAGATGGTTGCTCGCAAGAGCTAGGATCAGAATGAAGTCCCACTCTAGCGATTACATTACCCGCTGCATTGTAGACCTTGACTTGCAAACCGAATGTTGAAAGGGTCGGCTTCACTTGTATTGTTTAACAAGGGTGAAACATAGGCTGCGCGGCTGTATCGATGGCGGCTTAAAATTTGCAGGTACGTTCGGATGGTCAGTCCGAATATCCCACCACTCTGTGACCTAGCTTCGTTGAACTGGGTCAGTCACGGAGTGCCCAGTTCCCCTGCCTCTTTTTTCTCGCGCTGTTTTAGTTTTAGTTTGGTTCCTAGTAGCAAGGCCAGGAGCTACTAGTAGCATCCAGCCTTCTAGTGAAATCAACGGCAGGCATACTTGCCAGGCACAAACCTTGGAAACAGGTGTTTACACACACACACACCAAGCCGTAATCGGCGCGCTCTCTTTTTGCTTCGCGGGTGGGGGTGGGGGGGGAAAATGGGGAGTGCGTTGACTACACGAGCCTGGATGTCCACCTAACAAGCCTGAGAGAAAGAACAAGGCAAACGAAAAGGCGTGAAAGGGAGAGAAAGGTGCAAGGGGTGCGGGGGTGTAGGGTGGGGTTGTGGTGGTCCCTGCCCGAAGGCCTGACAAAAGCCGTAACCGGCGCTCCCTTGACTGAAGAAACCTCCGTCACACCTAAAAAGCCTCAAGAAAAAGCCCAGAAAACGAAGAGCAACAGCAGGAAGGAAAGAACAGAAACGAGAATACTTAGCCGCATGTGTCGCGCCTCTGTACAGGTGAATACTTAGCAGCATGTGAAGAGCCTGGCTGGAGTCTGATCTGAGTAAGCCCTGCGGCGGAATCAGCAGTCTCGTGCAAAAACATAAGCTAGTGGGAATCAGGATGATGGTCACAAGCAGGGCCGGAGGAGGAGTCAGTGAGATTCCCCCAGGATCTGGGTCTATGCATATGCTGCGCCCCTCGATGGGGATCACACCACAGCCCTCAGTGGGACTCTGTGGCGACACACCCCTAGATGGATGCTCGCAAGAGGTCGGTGATCCACTTTACACGCATTGGCCCTTGACTTGATGGAACAGAAAGGTGCGGAAACCGAAAGGTGGCTGAGTCCGTGGATTTGAAGGTGTTTGAACAATGTTGACTGCGGTGATTCAGCTGCGAGAAGCGGTGGGGTTGGTTTCGGGGTCTATCATGAGAACAACCATGGAACCAAAACACAGCGAGGAAGAATTGGTGTATTGAGACCGTGCAGGTACACAGATTGGCGTCCCAATCTGCTTCACGGAATGTCCACAGCTGTCTTCGTTGGCAGCAGAACTGTGGATTCCCTGCTGCCCCCTGCATGTGTTGAACGACCTAGTGAAAAAACTAGGAAATGCTATAACCTTGGAGACAGGTGTTGACACACTTCGAACTTGGGTTTTCAGTTAACTCAATTGCCACGATGGGAAGGAAGGTGAGGGAACGGAAAGGCGCATAAGTCCGCAAAACAGTATTGTTTAATCAATGTTTCACAGCAAGTGGAAGGTGAAGCGGCTGCACAGCGGCGGGAAACCTGTTTTTTGGGGTAAGTAGCATGAAGAACCATGGAATCAAACAAAGCAAATTAGACAGCGTGGTCAAAAGTTCAGGTTGCAGGTACGTCGAAAGAGCGTCCTCTTTCGATATCCTAGTCTGAACCTGGAGCTTTGTTGGCTCACGCCAGGAACAGACCCGTGAGCCCCCTGCCTTGGATAGAAAATCTAGGTGGTGGTGGAAAAGTAAAACAGGGGGAAACCCTTAGGGCCAGGGTGTGACACACACAAAACGCCGTAATCGGCGCACAGAGCGAGCGGTGGAAAACGCGGGTCTTTTTCTCAAAAACCGCCTGCACGCTTGCAGGTTATGCCCTTTTTGGGCGTAGAGGTTGACCAAAGCTTCAGCCGCAGCGGTGGCATTGTGAGGTGGAAAAGTCGTGGCATGCAATGCAATTCCTGCTATCTGTGGAGTGGTGCAGAGCATGTGGAAGCTGATCAAACGGCTGCGGATTAAAATTTGTAAAAGTTGGGACAAACGCACAATGCACAAACCTGATATCATGACGTGGGAATACCGAAAAAGTGCAGAGATTCTGGTGGGAAGTCCATCGTTTATAGCCCGGCGGCTCGAAAATCAGGAAATTCAGGGATAAAAGGGAAACCGTGGAATCAGTTATGAAAGTGGAGAAACGGTGAATTCCGGCATGGCGTCGGCGCCCCACTGAAGGGGATCACACCCAGTACCCGAGCGGGAAGACTGAGCGAGTCACACTTCGAACTTGGGTTTTCAGTTAACTCAATTGCCACGATGGGAAGGAAGGTGAGGGAACGGAAAGGCGCATAAGTCCGCAAAACAGTATTGTTTAATCAATGTTTCACAGCAAGTGCAAGGTGAAGCGGCTGCACAGCGGCGGGAAACCTGTTTTTTGGGGTAAGTAGCATGAAGAACCATGGAATCAAACAAAGCAAATTAGACAGCGTGGTCAAAAGTTCAGGTTGCAGGTACGTCGAAAGAGCGTCCTCTTTCGATATCCTAGTCTGAACCTGGAGCTTCGTTGGCTCACGCCAGGAACAGACCCGTGAGCCCCCTGCCTTGGATAGAAAATCTAGGTGGTGGTGGAAAAGTAAAACAGGGGGAAACCCTTAGAGCCAGGGTGTGACACACACACACACAAATACACCATCATACACCTATTCTTCAAAGTTCCTACCGTGTCTCAAACCAAAACAATTACGAAGGGGTTGATCCCAATCAAGACTTGGTTGGTCCATGTTGATCCCAAATGGAATGGTTGACCTGCGCATATGTACGGAAAACCACATGTTGGGCTGGTGCATTCCAAAGCGAGATTGAGAACCTTGCTGGAAGTTGCTGGGGAAGGTAGGAGCAAGGGCGCTACTAGGGGCTCCTGGCCTTACTACTAGGAGCAAGGACGCTATTAGGGGCTCCTGGCCTCGCTACTAGGAACAAGAAGCTACTAGGGGCTCCTGGCCTTACTTCTAGGAGCAAGGACGCTATTTGCTACTAGGAACAAGAAACTACTAGGGGCTCCTGGCCTTACTTCTAC